CACACACACACACACACACACACACACACACACACACACACACACACACACACACACCTACCTTCTGGCTCTGGAATGGACGGTTCTGTTTCCCACAAATTGTCACAGCTGTCCCTCCTCCTCCTCTGCCACACAGCCCTGGCCTTTTCCTCTCCATTACCCATGCTCCGTGTGACTGACAGGTCAGCGATGATTGTCACATCAGATTAACACCGGTGACCGCTGGGCACTTTCCTCTGGACCTCGTGCCGACAGGGAGATTTGGCCAATTCACACTGAAGTTGTTACCAATGTGTGGCTGTCAGGAGAGATGGGTCCAGTTTCCAGAGTGGAAGGCCACAGAGGGGAGCTCCTGGCACTTGTGCTGACCTGTCACTGTGTTCTGGTGTCTCTCTCTCAGCCCTGCTGTGGCTTTTGTTTTAAATGGAAATGGATCACAGCTAATGATGAGGAACAGCAGCAAGCACAGGCTCTCACTTTCCATTCAGTGTGGCTCAAACAAAGATGGCTGCTTGTCTTGTCTTGATACTCGCCAGTCCTGGCATCCCCCAAAAAAGCCCACTTCAGAAGAAGGCTTTGCCTGGTAGGTCTGCAGTCACTCATCCATGTTTTCCAGCTGTGCGCACAGATAAATCTGTGGTGCTTCCAGGCATCAGGCAGGAATCTGTTCCAACTCTGGAGTTTCTGAAGAGCTGAGTCCACAACCCAACTTCTGTTGTGTAACATGTAAATAAAAATGAAACGATTTGCAAATCTCGTGAACCCAAAATCTGACTGAACATTTTAAATGTTGAAACTAAGAAATTGTAGCATTTTTTTAAAACAAAAAAGGTCCTTTTGAAATTGATTTATTTCAGAGCAGACTGTCAGATCAGTCTTTGCTGGATTTTTTGCATTTTCAGTTCGAGGTAGGTCTGAGGTTCAACACCCAGACTCTGTTACTGTGAAGAATGCAATATGGTTTAGCCTTGTCTTGCCAAAATGTGCACTTTCTTTTTGTATGATAGAGCTTTAACCAGCCTTTATGGGTGGCACAGTGGATTGTGTGGACAGAACAGAATCATTTTTTAATTCAGCACTTCTGAAGGTCCTGAGAGCATTAAAGACTAATGTTCAGCCTTTTGCACTCAGAGATTAATCCAGATTTTTAGGATTTTTGATGGGGTTAGCTGTAGAAGGTGACGTAAGACATCTTTCTGATTTTTTTATGAGGAACATTATTATAAAAATGTAATTTTTAGACAGTTTATTTTCTCAATGAACCTTTGCCCATCTTTACTTCTTAAAGATTCAGCCTGTCTAAAATGCTCTTTTTCTACCCAGTCCTCTTACTGACCTGTTGCCACTCAACCTAACTCATAGTCTCTTAATTGTTCCTGTCCCAGTGTTTTTGACACGGCATCAGACTCATAATGACCTTTTTTAATGGTACAATTTCTTAGCATAAAGCATTACTGTGTTTTGAACTGAACACAATTGAGATTTGCAAATGATGACATTCTGTTCTTGTTACATTTTCCACAACTAAAACCTTTTAAAATTTTGGGTTGTAAAAAGAAGGTCCTTTGGTCTTTCTTTGAAACCTCAGTGGGGTGAGGCTGTAGTTTGATCCAATTACAGGAGCAGACCTGAAAATGCAAACCTTGTTTTCCTGATGAATTCCCTCGAGCTCTGTTTGGACTCAGAGTTACTCAGTGCCTGTCCAATAATCAGCTCCCATGTGGCTGCATGGAACTTTTGTTGGGTGTCTTTTGTGAAAATAATAAAAAACATATCTATAAATGAAAGGCCTGTCATTCATTAAAGGAATGCCTATCACCCATCGCCTTTCATTCCAGAGTTTAAAGTAAAATTATGTCACGATGGGCAGAGTTATAGTTTCGTCAAACCTTGTTATGAACAATCGGGTATGATTTCGTGAGAACTTCTGTAATGTTGCAGCATTCATAAAAAACTGTGTGGTGTTCAGTGATAGGATTATTTTGTTTTTGTTTTAAATTTGTTTTCTTATCTAAAATATGGAGATTGTTCAAGTTTGAGTTGTTTGTTTGAAGTGTTTTATAAAAAAAGGGGCAGATAGAAGATTTTATTTCTTCTTTCTGCACCCTTTTCAATCAGTAATCGATTTACTTTGTTTTTTATGGACTTTTTTGTTGTTTTTTTTAATGAACAAAGTGAAATAAATAAATATAAATAAATAAATATTGTGTTGAGGACGACTCTCAGCTTCTGTCATGCCAGATTTGTGCTCATCCCTAAAACTGGCTGAGTTGTCTATTTTTGAATTTGTCAATTAGTAGTACCTAGGTTAGTCCTAAAAATGAATCTGTTGTAAATATACAGTTCATACAAAGATTACTCTCTGAGAGTTTTGTTAAAATCTGTACGGTGGTTCCAGAGATACTTAGCCTGAGGTTTTAGAAGAATATTACACAATGTGCAACGCTAGATAATGATCAGCTTCTAACACACCAAATTCTAGCTCAAAACCTGCAAACCTGAGTTTGATTGTCTCCTGTGGCAGCCATCTTGAACTGAATTAACTCCAAAAGTTATTCAGTTGTAAACGTACATCTGAAGATTAATTTTTGTAAGTTATGTTAATATATTGCCGTTTGTATCATATTTGCTACGCAGGATTCTGTGAGCTATACTTTGTCAATGTGGTCAATATTTTCCTTAAAAACCTGTTGTATATCATTTGAGACCTGTATTCTGCCCTCTAGTGGATTATCAATGTATTGCAGGAAGTGGGACTTCTTTTTTTTTGCCTTTTCAAAATGTCTGCTGACATGAGGTCATCCACACATTTTTTTTAGAAAAACTTTTGCTAATTTTGGAGAAGTTATGGTAAGAATAACATCAATATTGTTTGTATTTTTGAAAGAAATACTTTCTGTGTTGAAACAGTGCATGATTACTTAAAAATATTGTAATAGTACAGTTAAAACGTGTTAAAAATTTGTGAACCAAACTTGATACTGCAGGTATATAAGTTGCTCCAGTCCTGAATTGTCATGTGACGTTTTAGTAATTTTAGTAATAGTATTCTTGCCACAAAATAACACACATTATTTTGGATGATTGATTAATTAGTGAAATGCCATTTGAAAACACATATTGGCTATTTTCAAAGTGGTTTCCTTTAAAATTATAATCTCTATGCTGTACTGACCAAAT